ATAAACAATTCTTAATACAATTATTTTTCATCAAAGTTGTTGTATACTCACAATATTTTTAACATTAAATCATAATATTGTTTTTTTAATATGGAGTAAAAGATGTTGTTAAACAAGAAATTCATGTCAAATGCGAGCCTAGTAAATAGAATTCATAATTAATAGCAAAGTAAAGGCTTCAACTGTAAAATCAATTTTTGAAGGAGTATTAGAGTAAATAAATTCGCTTGTTAGATGTTATAATTCTAATTATTTAGACCACACTCACCCCTTTCTTTACCTCTTGGAAAGTTTCTTTTATTGGCTAGAGTCTAGATATGCTTCTGCTTTCTTTTCTTTTTTTTTTTTAAATAAAACCCATGGTTAAGTTTCTGATGAAATCAACAAATTTTAACAAATGACGAAAAAAATTGTATCAACGTTTTTTAATGTTAATTGCCATAACATTTTGAATGTTATTTTTTCCTTGTTGAGACAAATGAAATGCAACTATACAATTAGAATGAATTAATTATTTAAGAATAAAATATGTGAACCGTGCTCATATCCAACCTCATATGAACATTTAATTATTCTACTTTACATCTTTCCAATTGAACTTTTTTTTTTATTTTTTTTTGTGAATTTGAATTGAATAATGTGAGGTACATTGTTGAATTTGGATTATTTACATTTTTTGATATTGTTATTGAGGTTAATAAAGAATATAAATGATTTAAACTGTTTAATTATGTAAGATTGGCTATTTCGTTGTCAATTGACATTCAATTGATAGAAATAGTTGGATTCTTTTATTTTTGCTTTTCTTTTAGTATTTCTTGATTTTGATAAAAAGCGCATAATTATACATCTGTCTTGTGATACTTATCCAAATGAATATGGCCTTTTTTGTTCTTATATATATATATATATATATATATATATATATATAATTTTCTTTTTTGTTCTAAGAGCTTCTATTTTTTTTATACTAATATTTTTTGTAATCTTAAAATTGTGGATAATGCAATTGATCACACTCTTTCGATTAATCATGTGGAATGTTTCATATTTTTAATTACTACCATAATTAAAATGTAATAACCCTAATTGAAAAATGAGGATAACATGGGTACAACAAAAACGATGATAAAAAAGCACTTTACAATTTACAATACCATACCCATCATAGTTTTAATATTAATATACTAGTAATAGATAGATAGATAGATAGATATAGTATACACTCACATAGCCATATGGTATCAATCAATTTTGTTCATGCACAGCAATTTAATACACGAGCACAACTACTCGTGTGAATGTATACATCAAACACGAAAAAGTATAACAATCACACCGCCAAGATAGTCTTTTGACAATAATAAAAAAAAAAAAAAAAAAGTCTTCGTGGAGACTTGACCACCAACAGTACAGGCATTTGTGTTGGGTGGGCTGCCAATAAAATGTTAAACGTGTATCTCATTAAAATCAAAATATAGGAAGTTTACACTGCACGGGAATATATTAATTTTAGGTCTCAAAAATTCCTGCTGCCGCTAATAGAAGCGTAGCTCTTATCCAGCAGACGAATAGATGTAGAAAATACGCTGCACTGCTACTTGAGTAACTGACTTGACTATTTGCTTCTCTCTCACAAAGAATTAAAAAAAGAAGAAGAAAAAAGCGCCTAATTCGTAATCTGCCCATGAACTTGGCATCATCAGGGCGTGCGTTATAAATAGGCACCGACCAACCAATCGACTGTTGTTGGACTGGCACAGCTCTCCGTCACTCTCTCTCAAAAATCTCCATAGCTCTCTCCTCATCTGCCAACGCACAAAGGAGACTATAATTATGTGATAATCTTTTCTTTTTTGTTTCTTTGGGCTCATATTTTTCGAATGTTGCCAACATCAAATCCCAGTTCATTCTTCACCTTTGCAAAGCCACCCTTAAATTGCATTTCAGCCCCCCCTACACTTTCTTATCCACCGTCTTCCACCACCAATTTCCGGTTTCGGGCCATCGCCGACCACCCCGCTCCTGGCCCTTCGTTTCCGCCTTGGTGGTTGAATGTCCTTGCTGCAGCCGACGCAGCTGTCCCTGGCTTTGGACGCAGCTCCAATGGCAACACCGGCGGCGGCGCCGTTGGCGGAGTGGGAAGTGCAGCTAACGGCAACAAGAGCCCCAAGGTGAATGCCAAGGAGAAGCGTTGGTCGGGCAACCGAGATAGTTACTTAGCTGATGATGACGATGCTCTTCCTCTTCCAATGACCTATCCTGACAGTACTCCCGTTACGCCGGAAGAAATTGACCGCCGACTCCGATGCGACCCCGAAGTTCAGGTTTTTGTCTTTATTTTAGTTCTATTTTGGTTTCTAGTGAATCTTACAAAAGGTAAATCTTTGTGGCTTGTGTTTTGACTTTGGGATGACTCATTTAAATGATTTTCATTTTTTGGCGTTTTACATCAATTGAGGCACTTTTCTGGGCTTATTAGTTGGTGGTGGAACCTTTGTTGCTAAGGTTAGCATATTATCAACCATTCAGCAATGTTCTGAATTTGGTGTCCGAAATCTTCGAGTATAACTGTGTGGGTCATAATATCTTGTGCAAAAACTATCCTAATGTGCTGAATTTTCTCTTAGAGTTTTATCTTCATGTTATGTACGCGTAAGAAATTCTGTTAGATAACCGTCTGGTTATTCCTAAATGTTCTTTTGATTTGTTTCCAACTTTGATGCAATGGAGTTGTAGGATTGTAAAGAAGTTGTTTATGAATGGACTGGAAAGTGTCGAAATTGCCAAGGAACCGGATATGTTAGCTACTATAACAAGAGAGGGAAGGAGACTCTTTGCAAATGCATACCCTGCATTGGAATTGGTATTGCTCTAGCACTGTATATCATTTTTTCATTGTCAGAAAGTATCCTGTCTTGTATGTACTTTAGATGGTTTCTTTATTGCTATTATTATTTGATAAAATGCAAATGGAGTTTTGCATGACCCCGAAAAAACGTGCCAATACAATATCTTGTCATTTATGCAAGGGATTTTATTGGCCTTCTCCATCTTATGCTGCAAATTCATTTACGTTTCTTTTGCTTCTTTGCTTCTAGAACATTTACTGAATGAGAAATCCTTCATTTCACAATGCTAGTGGTTTTGCACTTATGCCATGATTGCAACATGGATAGCATGCTTTAGCAATCTCATTCTTTTTATTATTTCTCCCATTTCATTTCAAATCTGAAGCTCAGAGGGCAAGAATTTAAACTTTTCAACTGTGTGGAATTAATTGCTTTTAGTTAAGTGTGTGCCTTTACCACTTTACCTCCATTGCACGAAGTGCTTAGGATCAGGACATGCTATATTTCCAACTTCAGACAACCTATGCGTTTGTCCATCTGTTTTAATCAAACATTTTGTTGACTTGTTACCTTCCGAGCCTTTGGACTTCACTTTTTAGTCCCTGTTGGACCCTTGGTAAAGCCTCAAAACAGATCGTGGATCAACCTTGCCTCACCTCTTTTAAAGATTATGCAACCCATCCTCTTCCTCCTTTCACATCTCTGTGTAGGTGTGTTTGTTTTTGTGTTTTACAGTTTTACACTGTCTCCAGATCATCCTGCTGTTGCTCAACATCTTCTTTTTGCTCTATTGTCAGCATCAGTTTATTTAGTCCCCTCTTACTTAACTTTTTTCATAGATATATTGCATTTAGTGTTTGGTCCAAAATCAGTCTTTATCAATTGGTTGTTCTAAATTTATTATCCAGCGAGCAGATAGGTTATTGTTTATTTAGTCTTCCACTTTTTGTGGCAAAGCATCAGTCCAATAATTATTTGTTCTATATATGCTTCTTTCTGGTTCAGTTGTGAACTCAAACCTCCTTTATTTGTATCCATGATATCAATGATATGCATTATCCTTTGAACTTTAAACTAGCATTTTCAATTGCAAGGTTAATTTGGGGGAATCCTCTATTTCAACCAGCTTGAAGCTGCATATATCTCCAAATTCGTGCTTTTGATTTTAATTTGCCCCAATCTCTTTGACTGGTTTAATTAGCCAAAAACTTCTGCTGTCTTACGAGAAGTTGCTTGAGAATATAGTCTCTCAACGTATTCTTAATGAGCTTATTACATTAAACATGTTGAAGCAGGAAGTTAGTGATGTGCTTCAGAGCCAATTGTAACCTTTCAAGTCCAAGTAAATGTGCATTCTTGTTAAGTTTTTTTTTTGTTGGGTGGATGCTTGAAATGTTGTCGTCCAGAAACAGAATGTCAAACAACTCTTTCTGGTTGTGGAGTAGCCTACTTTAGCTAATTCTATCCCTAACAAACCTGCTGAGTTTAGGCTATCAGTTGTAGGCGGATGATCTTTTATGTTTTGGTCCTCAAACACAAGCCTAACTCCTTGATAACTGCAGGATATGTACGAAAGATAACTGCACGCAAGGACATTGATGTGATGGAGGACTTGGACAATGGAGCCCTCTGACATGGCGCATCAATATAGTCTAGACCCATATTGCATTGCTCATTATTTAAAGGAGTTCAATTCCTCATTACTTCAGGATTCTTAGAAAGTTTTATGTATTCCAAGCTTTTGATAGTCATTTGGCGTTGTGTAGATATTCAAATGAGAGATTCGATGGCCCATAGATAAGGATGCCTTGTCCAGAAAAGTGCTCTTTTTGGGATTCTTTTTTCCAGCGTCAGAAGAAATCAAGGATTTATTCTTTCCCTATTAACATAAAATTACCATCTGTATTCCTCTCTTCATGTCCATTTACTTGAGAATCCGGCCGTCACGGGCAAGTTGGTGAGGAATAAAGTTATTCTGCCTTATCTCCTCCCTACTTAAGAAGCATAGGTATATATGCCTTTTTGCTTGGTGATATCAAATTCGCATAACTGTTTCGTTATAATATTCGATGTGAAGACTCGAGACCTCATAGTGCTTGGAATTTGAGAAGCCCGTTGTTGCGGTCGGCTCCTAACAGCAGCTGAAATATGCCAAAAGTTAGTTTTCTGGGTTTCCAGTATGGCCTCCCGAAAAGAAATTTTTTGCGGAAGCCATCTCGTCTGTTTTCCAAAGATGGGCATAATTCTAGTAAGTTACCCGCTTATCAGCAAAGCTTAGAGGAGACGAAGCAGGTTTTCGACAAATATGACGCAAACAAAGATGGCAAGATTTCACCTGAGGAGTACAAGGCCATATTGAAAGCCCTGGGAAAGGGAAATCCGCTTACAGTAGAAGTGAAAAAGATATTCGAGGTGGCAGATTTGGATGGTGATGGATTCATTGATTTCAAAGAGTTCGTGGAAGTGCAGAAGAAAGAAGGCGGGTTAAAGACGGCGGACTTACAGAACGCTTTTCGGACATTCGACATGGATGGCGATGGAAAGATAACTGTGGAGGAAGTTTTCGAGTTGTTGCAGAAACTTGGAGAGAGGTGCAGCATGAAGGATTGTAGAAGAATGGTCCGAGCTGTTGATGCCAATGGGGACGGTGTGATTGACATGGATGAATTCATGACCATGATGACTCGCACCCTCAAACTTACTAGTTACTAGACGAACAGGGAGCTGCCTGGATGTATTGTCTGTACATCTTCCTGTACCACATTTTACTATTCTATCTGGAAATTCCCCAGTCAGTGTATCTGCAATCCAAACATATAGATCTTATGTTTTATCTGAAACTCGTTTTCTCAATGTTTCTCCTCCTTCAGCATTATTCAGAACAAACACAAGTTTGGTCGCAGGACCGCAATAAAAGGTTCCACTCCAGCTAGTTCCTGTGGTTGTTCTAATCCTGCTTCTGCTCAAATTTGGGTGGGGAAAAGATATATGCTGTGTCTGGCAATTTAGACAATTGCATGACATAATAATACCAACTGCGAAAAAATGTCATGTACTTTGAAATATCGTGCATGAAGTTGGAGTATTATGCCGAAGAAAATATGTTGATTAATTAGCGTTCAGTAGTTGTGTAAACAAAATATGCAGACAGACAGTGATGGAGCCAAGAATTTTTTTTGGGGGGGGCCAAAATTTTTTCCTAATAAAATTATCTTAATATATTATGTTCAAAATAATTTTCTTCTATTTAAATATATGACATCTAAAAATATCAAATATTAAATTTAATTATAAAGGTACGTCTATTCATAAATATGCGGTACAGTCATAACAAAAATTAACAAAAAAGATAACATTTGATTAAATATCTTATAACATCACAAATCATCCAATTTGTACATTATGAGAATATGCTCTCCAATATTCAGCTATGCAATATGTATATATATAACCATGTAATATAAATGTAACTATTTTCAATTGAAAAAAGATAAAAGTTATGTTAACATACTTTGAAAATTTCAACATCTTTTCTTAGAAGTAAATTGAGCTCTACGCTCTTTCATAGAACTAAATTCATCTATGATTGAATCACTACTAAATTTTTCAGCAACTTCTTTTTCTATATACACAGTTAGACAATCATTCACGAAATTATCTTTCATCTTGTTTTGGAGTTTTGTTTTGATTATTTTCATAATTGAAAATGCCCACTCTATAATTGCAGTTGATACAAGAAGAGTAAGAACAAGTCTAATCAATCTGTCAATAAGAGGATATATCACTGATTTTCTTGTCTTCACCAAGCCTTGACATAACTCATGAATACCAGATAATTCTTGGAATTCATGATGATTTGGAATGTCGAGTTCAAAATGTTGAAGTTCTACTCTTAGACGTACTAGTTCTTGCTCCATAAAATCATTCGGATAGAACTTCTATGCAAGTTTACAAATATCATCAATCCTGAACAACATAAATCCATTTCTAGGATCTAAAGCAGTGCTCAAAACAAGCAATTCCACGGTATGATCATTAAACCTGCTATGTAACTCTTGCAATTGATAATCAATTGTTGCAAGAAATATATCCATTTGATAATAATGCTCCACACTAATCTCATCATGATGACTACGAGATCTACTAGGTCTTGCAATATATTGAGCATTCATATATGGGATATCAATTTGATGTTGCTCAAAAAATAATTTAACTTTCACCAAGAAATCATCCCATCCCGAATCTCGAAAATTCTTCAGTAGCTTTGTTATGCTTGAGACAAGATACATTGCATTCAAAATATCTTGAGATTTACGTTGCAATGCTATACAAAAAAAATGAGTAATTTCCACAATGTCTTTCACAAGATGCAAAGTGAAAACAAACTTAAAAGATAACAACTGATTCAAAACAAAATTTGCATTTCCACGTTGAGTGTATGAACCTCCATCTACTGCAATGTTACTTAAAACCACACAAGTAGCATTGAACATTTTCAGTAAACTAGAAATCGAATCCAAATGAGAACTCCAACGAGTATCTCCAGCTCGTTTGAAAGTACCAATTTGATTATGTCCCCTTCCAGTTTCAAGTTCACCATTAGCAATCTTAGTAGCAACTTCAATTGCTTGAGCCTCCTTTAATTCATCATTACGTTTGTTAGATGTAGTAACAATGTTGAAAATGGAAACTAAATTGGAGAAGAATTGGTGAACAGAACCTACTTCTCTAGAAGCTGCAACTAAAGCAAATTGAAGCCTATGAGCCAAACAATGAATGTAACAGGCATATGAACATTCATGGCAAATTAAAGCTTGCAAGCCATTCCATTCAAAGATGACTAATTCATATATATATATATATATATATATATATATATATATATATATATATATATATACATAATATAAACTAAAATTGTAAAAATTTAGAGGGGGCCAATTTTATTTTACACACATATTTACATATTATGAATTAAAATTCTCAAAACTTAAGGGGGGCCATGGCCCCCTCTGCTCCCCTTGGCTCCATCATTGCAGACAGATCATTCTATCAAAGTTTCAATCATGAAGGTCTTTTGTTATAGCTTTCTCATCAAATCATGTACTACTCTTAGTAAATTCATTAGATACTACTCCATAATTAATTCACGTAATTGATTGAGAGAGTCTAGTATCAAAGAGAAAGAAATAGGAGTAGTTATGAGAGAAGTTCGCTCTTTTACCATGAGAAACCGTAATAGTGCTCCATCCTTGCAGTAACAAGCTAGTACTCATATGGCTTTGAAATGCTAGGAACATTCCTCTCCTAGAAAAAAAAAAGAAAAAAAGAAAAAGGAAAAATATATATACTAATGGATACGATAATTTTAACGTGTAATGAATTATGACAAGATGTACTTTTAAAACTTGTTTTAGTATAAAATTTTCAAATCAAAACTTGAAAAAATTGGATAATGATGTGACAAAATCTGAACTATTGAATTTTTAAAGATCGGATCTATCCAAGTGTGATTCATACTTCTAAACATTTTCTTTTGGGCCCAAAAACAAAAAACAAAAACTTATATAATATACATATGTTCTGTAGCCGGCTCCCCATGATCCATTTTTAGCGCCAAAACAGTTGTAGCAGGTTTAAAAGAAGCAGTGCAACTAGGACGGACCGAGTACGGCAGCGTCCGAGAGAAGCCACAGATAAGAAATGGAAGACGAAGACGATGCGCTGACCGATCCAGACCCCAGCGATACCGGCGACGACTTCACCTGTGAATCCGAAGACGATCCAGACTACAAATCATCCACTAGCGACAACGATGGTCACGATATCGACGCCGAGACATCCAACATTTATCCAGCTCCGGCAAACCAAGACAGAAAGTTGCAAAACGTCGACGCTCTTGTCAGGTTAGTCGTTCGATTAAATATCTCATCCACTTCACTATTCTGATTCACGTGTTGGGACTTAATTACCTTTTTTTTTCCTGGTAGGAACACTTGATTATTTTAGTTCTATACTATATTACATAAATTAATAATTAGGGTTAGGATTCCTTTGTTCAGTATTTGCTATGTATATATTGTTACATATAGCAGTTGAATGTACACCTCGACTTAGCTCGAAATGTGTAATTACCAGGGGAAATCTAGTAGTGAAAAGGCAGTCATTACTTCCACGAGTTTATTCTGTGACGGATGCAGCAGCTAGCGTTAGGAAGCCATTTAAACCTCCTTGCTCAAATGGCTACTGTGATAACAATGAACAGCTAGCACGACGCCTGTGGGCTCGGAAAAGGTTTGTGCCCTGGGGTTCCTCTAGACCGGCTTTGCTTGGTATTACAAATAGGCTAAACGTCTCTGAGACTACTGAGACAGATGTGGTGGAAGAGAGTGTGGAATTACCACCCGGAATTGAACCTTTGGTGTTATGGCAGCCTGAGGAGGTGGACTGTAACTCGACAACAATTATAGTGGATCCCTTGCTTGTAAAGTTCCTTCGGCCCCATCAAAGGTACTGGAAATGATAAAAACGTTCAGGTGTATGTAATTGTTGTAGGGTTACTGGTGAATACCACTGTTATTCTAGAGCATCTCTGTTTCAAGATTCTTATACAGCAAAAACCCAAATCACAGTAACATGTATACGTATGGGAAGGTTTGAAATTCTGAAATCATTTTGGGAACTTGCTTAATTCCATAATGCAGGGAAGGGGTCCAATTCATGTTCGAATGTGTTTCAGGATCATTAAGTTCTGCGAACATCAATGGATGCATTTTGGCAGATGATATGGGGTAAATACTAATGCATGCCTATTTAAAAATTTCCGCTAATATATTTAGCACTTTCCACAAACCCTTTAAGGATGGCTATCTCACCTAGCTGTTTTCCTGCAGTTTGGGGAAAACATTGCAGTCAATCACGCTGCTGTATACTCTCCTTCGTCAGGGGTTTGATGGGAAACCAATGGTAAAGAAGGCAATTATTGTGACACCGACCAGTCTTGTGAGTAATTGGGAGGCTGAAATTAAGAAGTGGGTCGGCGAGAGAGTTAAGCTTGTTGCCCTATGTGAAAGCACTCGTGATGACGTTGTCTCTGGCATTGACAGTTTTGTCAGTCTGCAAAGCACTTTACAGGTAGAATTTCTCAAACAATCTGAGTTATCTGAAATCGGATTATGTTTATGTATATATGGTGTTCTCGCAGGTATTAATTGTTTCATACGAGACCTTTCGGATGCATTCTTCAAAGTTTAGTCAGAGTGAATCCTGTGACCTCCTCATATGTGATGAAGCCCACAGGCTGAAAAATGACCAAACACTGACTAATAGAGTGAGTCATAGTGAATATGTCCTCCTATTTGTGTTGATGCATTTCTGAGGAAGCTGTTATGATGAATAACTCTTAGTTACTGATCTGAATTTCCGCTTCAGGCATTGGCAGCTTTATCATGCAGGCGGCGCATTCTGTTGTCTGGGACTCCAATGCAAGTCAGCACAAATTGACCTTCAGATATTTACCTATATATATATTTTAAATTTTTTCTTCATTTAAATCACATTTATTCTTCACTTTGTTGATGCTATTTAACCATCAGAATGATTTGGAGGAGTTCTATGCCATGGTCAATTTTACTAATCCAGGAGTCTTGGGTGATGCTGCATATTTTCGTCGTTACTATGAGGTGAGTTGATTGCTAGAAACTTATGGACAT